GACCACACTGATATCAGCTTTCATTGCTGAGGATGATAAGTCAGGATGAGCAGAGCCATTGATGGCGGTTTTCCATTGTAAAAAGGCTTCTGAACAATCAAGGGAGCGCAGGCTAATTTGTCTCATAAGTAATGGGTTTATGTTCCTGGTGATTTTGCCTTTTTTGTTTGTGTTCTGACTCATAACAGCTGTAGACTATGTAACATAATTTCTCTGCACACGCTCCACAGCTGCAGTCCCAGACAGAACAACAAAGCCTTACAACTCAGTGTTCCACAGACAGCAACAACATCCACCTTCAATATTCACAGCCAGAGGCAGAGATGTATGAGCTACGCAGTCGGCAGATCGATATCCTTCATTCACTTGAGCGGTGCAGATGATTAAAAGGCTGAGTGAATATTTGATAACGCTGGAAAATATTAGTTTCAACAGGTATGAAAAAGAAAATGAATGATGAGTGTGGTTCTAAAGTAAAGGTGAAAATCTACATTAAAAAAAGATATCTGCTTTGTGTCTACTGCTGGGAGAAAATCAATCGGCTCACGTTCCTATTTAATATACATTCATTACTCTAAATGCATCGCTGCGTCGTGTTCAAAATCCACACCCTCCATATGTTATAATCTTGGTCCAGTTAAACACGAGCAGTGAATTATGTGCATATAAATAAATAGACGCACTTCCCTGTGGTTAGCTTCAGCACAGTAGCCATCATTACGCAGCTCTAACTTGTCTGTTTACCTTTAGGTGGAGCTGCTTCTTGTCCTCCATATAATTGTCTATGCAACAGTACAGTGGAAGGAAGGACCCCGCAGTGAATAGGTGTGATATCAAACACACAGTGTTCAGCTCTAAATCAGCACTGAGGAAAATCCGAACCACCAAAACCAGAGATGTCAAAAATGAGCTTGGACCAAATTCAACACCAAGGGGTGTGAGTGGTGATTACAGCCAACCGTAAGAAACATATCAATCCACCATGCTGTTGTTCAGGACAGCATGACGCTTTCTGAAGTTGATGAGAGTTCACCTTCTGATACGAGGATACTGCATAATAAAATACTGAGCTAAAACACAACTGCTGTTTAAAAAAAAAGTTTTGTTTGTGAGGGATTTTTGTTTTCATGTTAACAAAAAGTGCAAAACCAATTATAAACACAGCTTTTGTATTTTACAAAATCTTTGGGAATGTTGAAGCATTAAGTGGAATAAATGTCTAAATGTACACTGGTATATATAATATGTTATAGTTGATATTTTTATTTTAAAGTATTGAAGCTTGGTTGATGCAGTATTAGGCCCAGAGATGAAGAGGTATTTGTTATCGCAGCTGTAGTACTTTATATATGAAGTATTTATCACCCTGAAAAGTGGCAAAAAGTGTTTGTAAACCAAATGTAGCACTTTTGTTCCGACAGTTGACGCAAAGCACACAAACATTTTAATACACGCTTGCAAAACACAAACTTTGAATTTTGCAGTTTCTACATAAAGCAATTAATTGAATTAACGACAAGATAAAATTATATAATCTTTCTTCACCAAAAATTAAAAATGCGTTTATGTAATGCAGCAGCAGAGATGTGTGGAGGGGCTGAAGGTAACGTGAACACATGGCTTCTGTTACACAGTTCTACTGTTTTATATTTTACTACTCTGACTAACAATAAACCCAACATCCACTGCTGTGTGTTTCATCAATCATGGCCTTTACTTTCTTTTAACAGGTGCTGTGTGTGTGTGTGTGTGTGTGTGTGTGTTTGTCCCTGAAGGGGAAATTCTTTAACTGCGACAGGTCTAGATGTCGTACAAGGTGTAGAAAAGAAGTTGTAATTTGTACCTGTACCGTATGTGATAAAGTATTCTGTAGCTTTACTAAAAGAGCTTTTTAGTCAAAGGCAGCTGTGTATTTTCACATCGGACTTGTAGTAGCCCAGATAGCAGGGTCACACTGAGACTCAGAGTTAATCTCAGAGTCATGCGTTCATGAGTCCCGCCCAATTGGGTGATGTCATTCTAGATCCATAGGTGATAGAGTGGTCGGACCAACTTAAGGCTGTCCTTGTAAAAACCCAACAACATTTTTTTTAATTTTATTATGACAGCTCATGGCCTAGTGGTCCCAAAGCAAGTCTGCCTCAGAAGCAGAGAGTCCTGGGTTTGATTCCCAGAGAAACCACATGCTTGGTAATGTTAATCCTCCTCAGTAAGTCGCTTTGGATAAAGGTGTCTGCTACATGCATAAATGTAATGTAATGTAGTGGGAGGAGGATTGGGCTCGTTATCGAGGACTGCAGGTTCAAATCTCGCCTTGGCTGGCTGGAGTGTGTTAAGCCTGGACCAATTCTCTAATAAATGGTCAGTACCAATAAAATCGCTTGTCTTGAGCTGATAAGCACTGAAGCTGCTGAAGTCTGGATTTGAACCAATGATAACTGCACCAGCTACTGAACTACAGTCACTTCACAATCACACCCACTCACACAGTGAGTCCCACTCAGACCACATACCTCTACAAACAGTTCCATTCTCCACGGGCTCGTTCCCAGACTTGCACATGCAGCGCCCAATGGGAACCATCCATTCTCCGTCACCGTTGCAGTACAGTTTAATGGGTACGTCCACCTCTTCTGCATTCGGGATACAAACGCCACGTGCAGCAACAAGGGAGGTGCTCTCTGCCCCGGAGAGAGTTTCCTGAAACAGTGCCCCGTTGGTGATGATGCGTGGACACTTCCGGTAGAAGACGCGGACAGCTATGAGAGACATGCAACCACCGTAGTCTTGAAAGGCCAGGTAGAATCCATTACGGGACACCGGGCCAAAGCTCCTGACCTCAGTGTTGATCTTCATCACCCTTCCTCCCAGGTCCACCTGGGAGAAGCTCTCATCTGCTGCAATAGTGTCTACCTTGATCCAGGGGTTTTCCATCCAGGCCGGAGAAGTTCTGGTTGCAGTGTCAGAATCAGACTCATAGTAAAAGAGATTGAATGTCTCTTTGCATGAGCCGGGTACGTTCGGGATGCTACTGCAATCCCTGACTGAGAACTTCATCTCCACGTGGATCCTCTGTGCACCACGGCGCCTGATGTACTTGGTCCGCACCCAGTTGTTCTGATTGTTGTCAAACACATTGCAGACCTGGTACGTCCGGATGGTGTTCATGTTTTCATCGTAACCGCTCACCTCCTCCCACTGTTGGAAAATAAAAAAAAAGGAAAAGATAATGAATGTGTTTCTTTCACCCTACTAATTTGAAAACAAGTTTTAATTAAAAAAGGCAAAGGAAAAGTATTAACTGAGGCACGGTAAATGATTCATTCAATTAAGTTTAATTCAGCTGTGAAGCAGTAAATGCTCTGCAAGTTTCCAATTAACATAAAATGGCAGAAAGTCCCCACTGATACCACCTATTCCACAGGAAAACCAGGAGCGTTTGAATTCTACACCCCCATCGCACATTTCCATACGGGGAAGAGGAGATAACAATGAATACATAAATGAAGGGGAAAAATGAATAATGGATGAATATTTAATCCCAAGTGAGATGAGGAAGGGACGATGAGTGATTGTCCAAAACATTGTATCTGTTACAGTTAAATTAGTGTATTAATGGAGTCCAGCAACCTGCACACAGACAAGTTGACCATTGGGTCATATCCCATTATCTTTCTCTGGCTCCATTGTTTCATTTGGTTCAAAGTGGATTTTTTTTTTTTACACACTTGTGCTTGAACCTAAGCCACACCAAATTTGGATGTAGTTTTACAACTTAGTCTTTTGACTTAATTGTGAATTGTAATAGCCAATAGGCCTTTAATGAACCTTAGTCCAGAAAACTTTCTGCTTAGTTTTCATTAGTTTTTGTCTCGGGAAAGAAGGTCATTGACTAAGACAGATGAAGAGTCAACCATATGAACCCTGGTGGTTTTATAAACCTGTAGACTGTCACAATACTTATAAAGACTGAACCATTGGTGGCAGAATGCCTCTTTGTCATTCTGTTTGTTAAACCTGTTTCCAATTAACATACTATTATAGTTTCTTCTGTGTTCGACCTCTCAGGTCTTCCTCTGCCTCAGCCCCCAACTTTCCGAGACCCTACAGGCGTTATGAATACCATTTGTTGGATAAAGTCGGTCAAATGTGTTCTTTCGCCTGTTAAATAAAAGATGAAGTGAATTACCAAACAGGGAAGGTAGTGTACCGACTCTGAAAAATGGGGTTTGGGTTTAAAGCAGTCAGGATCTGTGTGTGTATTAACACTAACGTGCTCATATTTCATTGAGAAATAAAGAGAAAAATACCAACACAGCTTCTCTGTGTTTTCTGTCCCCACACGTATCCCCGAAGTACTGTATGTATACGTAAGATGAAATATATGCTTTCCATTGCTCTACCGTGCAATTACATTAGCTCAAATTCCTTGTACAATATTTTATTGTTTTATTTTGAAAAAAATCATATGGATTTTCTTATTTTCCTTAATGTTCCCAATTATTATTTTCTCATGTAAGACATTCCTCTACACATTAAGGTACACAGTCTGTTCCACCTAAACACTGGAAATTACATTATGATGGGAGACCATTGTCAGAGTGTTGGCATATTTACCTGATTGATCATTAAGAGACTCATTCATGGTTCTTTTGGGTTGTTTTTTTGTGCCTATAATTATTGTTGTTTTCTTCAATCTGCCACTCTTTGCCCTCTAAACTGCCCTGGGGATAAATTCAATTTTCGGAATCTGAATCTGAAAACATATTACACAACACAGTCAGGACTGACTGTCACTGCGTCACCAGCTGCCGCAGCTCCAGCTGCAGCCTCTGTGGTTTCGTTCCTCTGGCCCAGAATCAAACATGCTTTAAACACCATGTACCCTGACCGCTGAGCAGGTTATGACCTTGACCTCGGCGTCTTCGCCAAAAAAGGGAGCTTGTCCTCAACCCCCGACAGCCTCAATTACACCCTCTTCTGCCTCCGCCGCTCTACCTCCGCCTTTCCTCTTCACTTCACAGCTGATATAATTTCACAAATTAGAGGCCAGTTAGTGAGGATTTTGACAGGCTTTAAACATCGGGCAGAAAAGGTCACACTACCATCACAATAACAGTTTATCAAACGCTCTGCAAAAATTAGACATGGGCTTTGGTTTAGCCTTGGTGTTTGGTCAACGTTGAATAGGACATTGTGCTCGGCCTTAACTAACCTATTCATGAAAAGAAGTCTCTGTGTAGCAAAAACACTTATGTATCTTACGTATATGTTTCATGTTATGGTTTGCTTTTGACCCGTGTTAGCTGGACTCTACCTAACAGGTCATGCTGTTTGCCGCTGACCTTTTCACCAGATGATAAACGATGGCAGGGTTAAGAGCCAGTTAAGTTAAAGCAGAAACTGAACTCAGACATTCACAGTTTGATAAGGATTTATGTGCAAGCCTGCCGCAGGACGACTTGCTGTTAATGAGGTTTACAGACAAGAGAAACTTCAGGGGCTAGTGTCGGCAAGGATGTTGGGGGAGGAGCAGTTGAGCCAGGCTAGAAAAAAAAAAAAAAAAAGACCCCAAACCAAATGCGTCTTGAAGGAAGGGCCCCTTTTTTGTCCTGTCATGGCCTCTTGGCCCACTTTCATCATGGCCAGTGGAGGGAAGCAAATAAGGCATAATAAGAGGCTAACGATCAAGCAAAGAGTGTGAAATTAGAAGAAACGTCTTCATTTTCACAGCTCTCTGCCCTGCTCTACACTCAGAGTGCTGGTCATGTGTTAAAAGTACAGAAGGTGAAGGTGGACGTCAGGACGGATTAGTCTGGAGCGGATGATCTGCCTCTCATATCGCAATGGAAACTGAAAAGACCACATCATTGCATCAACATCTTGATTTGCTTGCAAAAAAATGCGAGTGTCGGTTCTTTCTGTGAGAGAAGTCGACAGCCATTGTGGGAAGTAAACATAACAAAATGCTGTTTAAAAGCATAATGATTAAAGGCATTTTCCGTACAACAACAGACATAATAAATATTATCGTGATCTCATTGGCACTGTAAAATAAACTGGGTATTGCCCAACGTTTTCAAACAGGGTGAAAATATTTCATTGTGAAACACAGTGGAAAAAAAGGGACTTTTCATGTGCTTTTTTTTTTTACAGTGGATTAGATGAACTGTATTCCTTTGAGAAAAACCACACACAACATCAGGGGCCTATGATGAAAAAAAAGCAATGTGTGAAAAGGAACGCATGGCTGGCTGCACACAAAAGCACACTGTTTCATGTTTTAATTGATGGAGCCTGCATTTTATAATTCTGGGTCAGGCTGTGTCTGTAAATATTTTTTGCTGTTTAGTTTAACCTGCTGGTTGTTATTTCACCCCTGCTTACAAGAAGTAGCTCCAAGAAAGAAAGCAGTTCTAAAAGAGTCATGGACAGATGTGGTGCAAACAGATTTGAAGATAACACCTGCTCTGGCAGTTACAAAAAAAATTGATCAAATATTTTGTACTACACTATTCATAATTTTTTTCTTTAACAACAACTAAAGCAAAGTCACATGTTTTTTAAATATGTTACGTTTTTCATGCATTCCCTTGCATTTAAATTCACTTTCTTCAGTTTCGCAAATTCTAATACACAGTCTATAGGTGGCAGTAATGCAACATTGCTATTTTTTTCTTAAACTTGTTTGGCAATTTGGATGTGCACCTCGTCTCCTGATATGAACTCGGCCGTACGGCTTAGACCATCACTCTTCGAGGTTATATCTCACGGTTTTGTGAGTTATTTATTGGTGCTCTACTTTATAGTTGTGTGGGAACAGTGATGTTTGACAAGGTAATATAGGGTTTCATGTCAAGATTTTTTTAACTTTATAATCATGTTATTTATATGTTTCTGTTTTGTATATATCTTTATATTGTGTTTAAAGTGTTCAAAAATCACAAAGCTATACTTTCACAGCAAAAAATAAGGGGCTGTGCTAACACTGGCACCAATTCGTTCTCTCCTTTATTTCTTATGGGAAAATTAGCTTCCAGTTACGAATGTTTCCACTTGAGAATCTCGTCATGATCTAATTAAGTTCGTAAGTGGCGGTTCCACTGTATTCATAGACAAATGTGCAGAGAAAGCCAGTCTGAAGTGAACACACATTAGACCAGGCCGTGGACTGTGGACTGAGGCTGAACTGGCAGAGACACTGGCTGCTCTCTTCCTAAACTGTTACAGTTCAGTGATGTTTACTGAAAATGAGGAGGACAATCAATATGGCTGCCACTCGAGGAGAGAGAAAAAAAGATCAGTTGAACCACAATCCATACGTCTACATGACAGGAGGTCTCTGCTGTCGCTGTAAAGCCAAGTGAAAAGCAATCAACGAGGCCAGATTATAGACCAGTGTTTCTGCCCACAGCTGAAATAACACGACACAAAGACCTTGTTGCTCCATTCATTTGTAACAGCTGATTATCAAATTCCTGTATAAGCAGCAGATGCGGAGCAGGAACTGCAGCCTTGTGGTTTTGAAGTGAGCACGCAGCGGTGCAGCTCTCAAGGACACACATATGCCGGGCGTTCCAATAAAGACATTCATTAAAGAACAGCCTCAGTGTCTGCCAGTCTGCACACAGACTAACGTTGATGTATTGCCAGTTGTATTGCTCTTTTGGGACTCCACACTCTCAAACGAATTCACACTGCAAGGAACACAGTCAGCACGGTCCGCTGCAAAAGTTTGACCACAGCTACGCTCCTCGCGGACCAGTTGTCAACGACACGTCTGACAAATACTTACATCTGTCTGGAAAGCACAAGTGGAGGAGCTGCCGACGGACATTACAGTCATTTAAAGCTACTTATATGGATAAAAACTGACATTTGAGAAATGCATTAGATTTATATATTATTTTTATTTAAAGAAAAACTATCCAACAATAGCCCCTCCCTTCCTCTCAGGGAAGTTCCCTGGTTTACAGGTTGAGTAAATATTATTACTAAATTACGACTACATGTAAATTTAACGTTATAATTACATTTATAAATGTGAAGGTGAGACCTTTAGCTTTGGAGGCTAGTAACTGCCAAATATATATGAATATAAAAAACATGTATACATCAAACAACCAACAACAATGGTTCCAAAAGTGGGGGGCGAGACCCATCAGGAGGATACAATGCTAACGTGGGAAAAGAGAGCAGATGGTAAACTTATTTGAATTTCTTTTTCTTTCTTTTTTTTCTTTTTTTGCTGTAACATTACTATTTTTTCTTTGGTTTTCACATGAGTCCTGCCTTCTTTGAGGTCATTACTGTCACCTGATGGGTCAGTTTTCATTGGTCAATGACACTTAGAAAAGTGTTTCCTTTACATCACTTAAAAATTAAGGAAAAGAGAAAAGCAGACAAATGTAAGCATCTGAGCTGTTGATGTAGAATTTTTTTTTTCAAATTAGACTTTTTTTACCCTCGAACACTCAAAGAAGTACATTCAAAAGTACACTTACATTTAAAATAGATAGAGGACTGTAACATTGAAGTGTGTCAGCTAGGTCAGAGAGAAAACCAATGTCAGATCAGTCAGAGATGAAATGAATTCACTGTTTTGACACAACAGGGACCGTGTATTTATCAAGTCATGTTTTTTCAAATGCTTGAATTAACCTGAACGGACTTCAAACATCTACAGGCACTGTACATATCGCTGTTCTGTCACTGACAGAAGAAAATAAATTATTCACACAAAGCAGAGGGAGACAGAAGGAGACGGAGAGAGAGAGAGAGAGAGAGAGAGAGACCCAACGGAAAACTGTGGGGAAACAGTCGCTCTGTTTGCAGATGTGGGAAATCTGTCAGAGCAGGAGTGGCTTCCCTAGAGGGACAGACGACAAATGACACCTACACTCTGCATTCAATTACTACAAGAGAGGCCATGGGAGCCACATCCTGCAGCAGAGCGGGCGTCACACAACATAGACACTCACACATAAACACACAGACGTCGGCCTAACTGTCTGCTGCACTCCATTACGGTCGTCCACTATATAATGTGCAACATATGAAACTATGAGAACAATCCCAACGTTTACCTCCCACATCCTGCATTGTTTTTCCAAACAACGTTTCACCGACTTTGATTCGCAATCACGGCAAATTAGTGGTCACTGTAAAATCCAGTGAGACAAATGCAGTGAAATAATTTTAGCAAATTGCTTGTAAAGACAAAGAAAGGCTGTGTGAAAAAAAAAAAAACCTTCCCGTGTTGGTCTGCCACACATGCCTTGAATTACATGTCAACTTCCTCAGACTCTCCCCAAAAAGGATGTCTCGTGCTAACAAGTGACTTTTTTGATAACGTCAGAAAACGGACGTGTCTTTTAAAAAACATAACGCAACATGCATTTCCTGTTATCTCTATGCAAACCTCCACAATGTCCCCGTACGACACCGCAGACCTATCCTGGTACAATGCATTATGACATGTCCGTAATGATAACCTAACCTACTCGCTGCATTACATTGAGTTCTCAGCCTTTGCAGTCGACCTCCATTTGTCTTCCACGGCAGCTCGCCCTGTTACTCCCTGCAGCCAGACAACTCCTTCTAAATGTGTGGTGTTCAGTGTAGGAGCGAGCGGGTCAGAAGGTTTGACCCGATATTCACACATCTCTCAGCTCCACTTAAGAAGAAAAACACTGACCACTTAACCCTGCTCTGCCAGGCAGCTATAGATTAGCACCGTGTCTTATGGCACATTCTCATTGGATGAAGACAATACAGATTAAAATAAAATGTATAATAAGCAACATATCTACTACCTGTTATATTTATATATATATATATATATTTATATATTATATTTTATTTTTTTCATGTCAAAGTGGAGTTAAATTAAAATTATATGATTTTATGATGATATAATTTTCAGAATTTAAATTTTAAGAAATCACTAAAACAGTAATTGTAAGTTTGTGAGGAAAATGGTAGAAATAATGGTTTTGAATGACCTGTGTAATGCCGGACAAAAAAAAAAAACAATTTTAAATTTGTGGGGTACACTTAGTCCGAGTGACTTTGTCAGACGACCTTTAAATAATATTAAAAAAAAAAAAAAACACAAAAGAAGTATGAGCTGCAACAACTTGAACCAGTTGTTCAAACATATTTCAAACCACTACAATAATATTTTTGTAAATATAGTGAACTTTTAAGTCACGTTTTTGCTTCAGTACATTACTACAATTATATGAATTCCCTTAAACGTATTTTAAAGATGACGCAGTAAAATACATAAGTATTGATGTCATTTCACATGTGTGTGTATGTGTGTGTGTGTCCATGGACGTTTGTGAGCACAGTTTGCGAATATAAGCTTTCACTAACTTGCCTAAAGACAAGTGTTTGCACAACAGTACAAATATACAGACACGCAGCCCAGCGTGCATGTGTGGGCGGAGTTTTGGCATGTGAGGATTGGAGTGCTGTGCTGCCAAAATCTCACGACATCAATCAGAAGACACTCAACCACCAAAAACGCCTCAGGACAAACTCTAGTTTGGTAAATATTGCACTAATTTTAAGTGTCTTTGGCACAGCGTTGAATAATGAACCCTTGCCGGTCTATTTGTCTGGCTCAAGGACAACATAAGTTTAGCCGTCACTTTACATAATCAACAGTAGGTGCTGCCAAGCTGTACACAGAGAGGGGTATAAAATTTGGTTTACACAGTATTAAGTGTAATATTGTTTCCCAATAAATCAGTTCCTAAAATACGGTGATGAAAGTTGATTTTTATTGGTCTATTTGGAGGATGCTTAGTGCTTATAATTTTCAAAAAGCCAGATTCAAATGTCCAGTAAAACCGAACACGTAACTTTTTGGACTTTTACTGTGGCTTGTTTGCGATTCCATTGTGTCGAAAAAGTATCACATGTCACGTCGGGATATATTTCATAAAGCCGTACAGAGGCAGTGAAAGCCAACTGCTTGTGCGGCGCTCTGCTGGACGTTACTGATCCACGGGCTAAGCCCACGAACCCATGCATATATGTGTGTAAGACAATAGCTTCTGTAAAGCACCTCTAGCTGTGAGACTGGGCGGCACAGCCAGCCAGCTCTGTTTCCACACCTGTTGCCCTGGGCCATGAGGGACAAGCTATCTTCATCGCCCTCAATCTTCTCTTTCCTGTGGACCGTGCCTTTGACCGGAGCAGCCGTAACGTCATAAAAACTTCTGTGCCCACGCTAAAAAGGGCCAACCTATACCTGACTAAAGCCGCCGGCTTAGGGACTTGTTCGCATTTCACTGCATCCCACGAGAAGCTTACAATAGGGATGTTTTTTTTTTGGTTTTTTTTTCAGACGGGAGCATGGAATCATTTCAAGTTGAAAGAAGAGAATAAGTGCCCATATTCACCAGACATAGATCGGCCTCACAGCAACATTTATCAGCAGGAGAAATCTCACCACAGCATCAGGCATTTATACCACAATATTCAAAGGCAGAGATTCACTAATCGTTCCCATGAATCTTTTCTTCCTAATTCCACTTTGTTTTGACAGACTTTAACGCAAAATACTTTGAAACAGTTACTTTTTTAATTAGGTCTTCATTTATTTAAAGTTTGCATCCTTAGTTTACACTTTTTTTATTGACTCGATCAGATTAAGAAATAAGGGGCTGAGTGAGTGTTTAGCTGAATCCAGTGTTTTGCAAAGATGAAAGCGAGATGTGATGTAAACTGTGTTCGGGGTTGGAATGCGAGTGCGTAAGCACAGAACGGGAAGATTGGATCCAGAGCCGGCCGGAGAAGAGGAAAGTGCGCGTCTTTTTGTTCTCTGGGTATTGATTGAAGAAATTAGCATCTAGGAGACAACATGCCCGCAGGTCGAGGGAGATGAAGTTGTCCTAAATTACAGCTGAAGAACTTTGAAGTCGTATCATGGAACCATCGGCGAGCCACTCTTCCATCCTGACTTTTAGTTCTTGCTTATTTTATAGTGCAAAAATACACAGCATGATAATTCAAACCATCTTTAATACTAACCACAGAAGCATAAATAATTGAGTAAAATAGGCAGTGGTTTTCTGAAATGCACCAGCAAATAAGTCTACAAAGTTTTTTTTTTTCCCCCTTCCCTCTTTTGGATCTGTTCTAAGGAGTCTAAATCTTGCGGTGGGGAAGAAGTGAAGGAGACTGAGACTCTGTTTTTGGCTGGTTTTTTAAGTGGGCCTGGCTTGCATGTGGCTAGAAGAAACCAATGCCCTGGAAAACCATGTGGAAATACTGTGCATCAAACACCAACGAGGCCCATATAACACAAAGCCTCCAGTCTGGCATATGAAGACGTGTACTTAGCCTTAAGTATAATACTTCATTCATACAGTGCTTGTCATCAATCACAGAAGTCAGCTGGGGCTAAACTATAGAAGCTCTGGATCCATACTGTGGAATCACTGAAAATAAAACGCTGATGGTTTACATTCAAATATAGGAATAAATATGTGAAGCTGGAAGGTTCCGTGAGCAGGAATTCTGTCAGTTCTTCTACAAAGAAGCTCAATTAAAAGATGTGCATTTCAAAAGTAACTGTTTGGAATTTGCAGTTAGATTTTTCCCCTCAGCTTCAGATGGCTCCTTGTATGGGGACAAAGGTTCTTTTTAATTGAACTTTGACCTAAGAGTGACAAACCAAAACACTGGCTGCTGTGTAATTTACTTAGGGGAGCTGAGTAATTCAATATATTAGCTACATCTGCTAAGTTTTTCAATCCTATTAGCGAGTTTGTTGTTGTTTCTTAATTCATTTAACCTTGTATTATTAGCAACAAAGCCAAACTTACGCTGTTCTCACTGGTCCCTGACACGGGGAAGACTGTCCAGCCGAGCTCCGCTGTGGCCGTGGTGGAGTCCATCAGCATCTCTGCAGACAAGGGGAAAACAAAAACACACGAGTCAGATTATGGCATCGGGATTTTAATGAAAATAAATGATGTGCTGAAAAAGTGTTATTAAAAAACAGACACAGTTAAAATAAAAATAATTCAATACATTTTCTTATATATTTATTTTTTGTTACCTTCCTTTAAATTTATAATATCTGACATGAAGATGACATGATTTTTATAAGACATTATTAAATAAGCAGCATAATCTTATTTAATCAGGGATTAATGACATTTTCTTTATTAAATTTTTTTTTTTAAATTACAGAAAAAGATTCAATGACCATGGCCGACAAGTTGCTAATGTTTAAATTTAATATTTTATTAAGTCATTTAGGATTTGAAAATTATTTTAATTATAACTTACATAAAGGTAAAAAAAAAATCCAAATAACCATTAACTCAACATTTGTGTAAAGATACAATTAGCAGTAGTTCATAATCAGCGGAACGACACCATCATCCCCACAACCCCGTGGAGAGAACCCCAGGCTGGAAATGCAAATCTCCGTGGACACAAACACCTCTGGTAATTGGGGTCAAAGAGAAGGTGCCTCTTGTCTGTCATGAAGTCCACAGTGGCCCACCCCCCCCCGGCCAATCCCGGCCCTACTGTCCGTCATACGTTTACTGAAGCGCTCAGTGTCACAGTCTTTCAAACTCGGTTCTCCACCCTCTGTGTCCAGGATCCTGGGCCCCCGTGCCCATGGTCTCTATCTCTGACATCCCCTCAGCTCCCACTCCTCCGGCTGCTCAGGTTTAAGGAATTTCTCCTCCTGATTAGCCCGTGTCAGTCTTGTGCTGCAGTGTTGAGTTGCAGCAGATGGAGAGAGCATTCATCAGGTTCTTGGCGGCAGCTGCTAGCCCAGAATGCCACAGTGGGACACCCCCCCCCCCCCACACCCCCACACACACACACCCACACACACACACCCACCCATCTCCTTTCCACCACTGCCACGGCTTCTTATTATTAATATGTTTAAAAACTGTTTTCTGAAACTTATTATTAATATGTTTAAAAACTGTTTAAAGTAGAATTCGTATTTGTTTTAAATTAAAGGAACAGATCTGCTAAAATCAGAGGTTCCTCATGAAGGTCTTTAATGGTTGGAACTTTTAAAGTTACTTCCTAGTCAACCCCAGATCAGCCTGCAGGTGTTTTTAGAGACTTTGACTTGTTTTTGTGTCGTTTGTATTCCAGTGGAAACCACGGCTCTTTATTAGCAGTCGTTGCACGCTTGACTTTATTTGGTGGACTTCTGCTGACTCCCTACGTCTCTGCCACACTTCAAAAGGCATCAGAGCCGCTTCCACCATCCATTCACTATCACAAAGTCCAAATTGTATAATTAGGCAGATGAGGCTGCAATTGAGCAGCTATTGATAACCTTGTGTGTGACTGAGAGCAGAGTGGCCTACATGGGTGTTAGGCACAGAAATGGTAATTACCCCCCTATAATGATAATGATAATTAGTGGATGAGTTAAGTGAAAATAATGAACCCCCTCCGTGGTGGTTTAAAAGATTATTGTGGAGGGAAAAAAGGAGAAAATTTGCTCTGGAATAATAACAGTAACTGGGTTATTCCCCTTCCCCTTTCACTATTCCTCTCTTTACGTCATGTTTTTCTTATGCTACACATTCCCTATATTGATCTATTTTTCCCACCATTTGTTTTGTATATATTTACAACGAATGAGCAGTCTCTTTCAGTAGTAGTGAGTGTAGGGTTCAATTCCAGCTCCTGTTACTGTAGATGACGAAGTCGCTAGAAAATATATTTTTTGGCTGTTCTGGAATTTATTTTTGGATTTTGTGTGGGTGAGCAGTTGGTGCTATATACATAGTGTGATACTCTGGTTGACAGGGTGATCTCGAACTCAAGGAAAGACGTAATATTAACATTATATTTTACATTAGGGAGACTAGTAATTAGTCTATGGACAGAAGACCCACACCATGGTACAGTCAGCTAAAAAGAGTGTACGCTTTGCTATTCTGTAAAGCTAATACGACAACAGTAGCATGCTGAAAACTCTGCTCCTATACCTTTACCCTAATTATGTCACAGTTACTGCTCAGTTACTTTGTCGACAAAGTCCGAAGATACAGAAGTGTGGAATCCTCTCACTGAACTATCTGCTGGTAATTTCTTGTCCCCTGAAACTATGGCAAAGATGCTGAGTCAGCACTTGCAGTGGTTCTCGTGTTGATCAACTTATTAGAAGTCAACTCTGTTCAAAAACGCCTGGTGTGTCATAAGTTCTGTTTCCCCTTCACAGGTCCGTTCACCACACCCACGAAGACCGATCACTTTCCTCTCTCCTGCTGCCGACACCTCGGCCTCAGCAGCAATGCTGATTCATTACATCCCATGTTGCGGAGCAGCACATAGCTCACCTCAGTCAGCTCCTGCCTGATTCTCAGCTGGAACCCCCAGTCACTGCAGAGTGTGGCTGCTCAGCAAGATCATTTGGCTATTAATCACAACGAAGACAGGGTGCTGACATTTATGTCTGAACGCAACCGCGGGAGTCAGTCTTTTCTTCTTCTTGTGGGCACTTTTTCCCCACATTGTGATCATTTGAAATTTGCACCGAGTAAAATGGTATACGGAGCAGCTGACCCAACGCCCACGTGTCGCTGTACCCAGTTGAAAAAAGAACATATCACAATAGAAAAAGTTCATATATCATGAGAGCAAGACAATGAATTAATGGGAGTGAAATGATGTTGTTGCTCATTCATTTCATCTAAAAGTATACAGTTTTACTGGCTGTCAGGGAAGAGAACCTCCGAAAAATATTAGGAATGACATTTACGTATATTTAAGTTTTCTAAGACGTTACCCATGAGGCCGACCCTCGAAAAGTTTCAGACTCGATTCTATTCTTTCTGAAAGCGGCTTGTGTTTACAGCTTGATCACAATCAGCACCATGTACAAAAATGGGGGCTAAGAACTGTCAGCAGACCAATAACTCTCCGAGCAGAGACTGCTTTTCTAATAATTTGAAAAACCTGGACCTCACAAGCAGAAAAGTCATCAGTAAGAAAAACACAAAAACAGATTCATTACACTGTACCGTAGGAGGAAACAGCAGGAGTTAACAGTGTGTCAACCAGATCATTTAAAGTCTATTAATTAGGAAGCTTGAAGTTTGAGGATTTCTGGCTGGAGAATATTCAAGATGGTGGATGTGAAGTTGCTCTTGGTTCTAAGTTTTTTTCCTTTAAAAAAACAACAACAAAAAAACAACTAAAAAATGTAAAACACAAACAGATGCAGTAGAGCTTGTGGAAATATGCAAAACTACGACTCAATCCAAAAACAACTTCAGCCTTTGCTTCAAATGCATTTATATACACATACATAGAAACAAACATACATCTAATATACAAATATTTTAAGGGCTGTCAAATAATTATATGACAATAGAAATAATCAGATAAATCACCGGCATCTCATGTAAATATATTCTGGGTGTTCAAGAACTCCGTTGAACAAATACTATTTCAAGTACCATATGCAAATAACATGTGTATTAACTGTGTGTGTGTGTGTGTGTGTGTGTAGTTTTATTATAATAATAAAAATGGAACAAAAGGGTAATAAATAATTAAAGCCAGCCTCAGTGTTCTCAACTGTAGGGGGACGTATGAATATGCAATGAGACCTCAGTCTCAGAAAAGCCTGCTCGGCTGTGAGTGCATCTTCCAACACTTCCTTTTACTGAGAAGAGTGTTTAGTGGTGATCTGAGGGAGAACGAGAGGGAGAGCTCTCCACTGAGAGGCTGTCTGAAGTGACAGGCTGTGGGAGGAGAGGGGGGACGAGTGTAGGGGTGTGCCTACTTCAACAACTCTACTTTAAGAGGGGTCAACGCTGCATCCAGGCTTTCTAAATAGAGCAGGAGCATTTTCAGTGATAGATACAGAGGAGCTGTGTCCACAAAGAAAGAAACTTCAGCCTCAAGAACCACAACAATTTAGGAAAAACACATATATAAGTGTCTATTCTGTGTGTGTTTTAGTGTGTATTTGGGGGGGGGGGGGTGATGCAATTTAAATGAAATGTATTCAGCCATTTCCCCTCTCTCTCTTTCTCTCTCGGTTGGCTGCTGCTCTGTCTTTGTTATTATATTTCACTGTTTCTGCCAGCATGCTTCTCAGCATTTGCAGTTGGTTTTTAGAAGTTGCCGTCGGTTTACAGCGACAGACCATTCACGCTTTGGTCTCCACTGCGAGCAAATCAGAATCTGACAGATGGATGACCATGTACTTACAAGAAACAGACAGGTTTCTGCAGGCAAATGATGGATGGAAATTTTTTCTGGCTGCTTGAGTAATCGCTCAACTCCAGTACAACTTCCAGCGCGTGGTCTTTTTCTTCCCCCCAGGCAGAGAACCAAGCAAAGGCTGCTTTTCAAAATTTCTCATCCTTTTTATCAAACACACACACACCCTGGTGTGTAGTCCAATTGATGATTAGCTGACACTGGATATTTCTTCTTGGCTGATTTTCTTCTCGAAGCTTATCAAATACCAGGGGAGAAAAAAAAAGCCTGTGTATAAACCAAACTAAATAAACCCATCATAACAAAGTTGACTATATTTAACGACTATGGTTTGAGGGGTGTATTCTGAAGAGGCAATTGACCTCCATGAGAGCGTGACACGGTTTGCAGGTATGATTTCTTCCTTTTTCCTCATCAGCAAATCATTGCTCTCTCTTCTGTGCGGAACTAATCTCTAAAAAATTAACTTTAACACCGTCAAAAAAACCACAGAGGGTGTTTCCTGCTTCTGAAATCACTTCAGCCAGCAGGCCTTAAAAAGCGGCTCAACGTTGTCACCATAGAAAATTGTGCTGCTGACTTCACTTTAACCACTGCTGAAGGGCGATTTTACTTATATTTCACTAAGCACCTGAAACCACTGTATTTGATGGCATACGTGGGAAGACTGTGGTCTGACGC